TTCCAACCACTACCCTGTAACTCAGTTAGCAAGATGACAGTCAAAAACAAGGGGTAGGGGTGAAAATAAGAAATGGGACTGGGCCAAAGTCTCCTCTGCAGACCAGGTTCTGCTCCCGCCATGTTGAACGTTATAAACTTCAGTTATGACTCAAACGCAGCACGTCCTTAAACTTTCCATGTGGGAATGTAGTCAGATACATGCTGAAGGCCGGAGAGGCCATGAGGCAGTTATACTTATCTGGATTGTTATCTATACATAACATACATAACATAACATACAAGCATGTAGAGAACACGTACATAACAAGTTCATTATCTCTTGAAATAACAAGTTAGTTATCTTGTTATCTCAAGATAACAATTAAATTATCTTGTGATCTCAAGATAGTTATCTTGACATAATGAGTCAATTATCTTGAGAGAGCAAAATTATTATCTTGATATAACAAGTTAGTTATTTTGAGATAGTGAGTTAATTATTTTGTGATCTCAAGATGGTTATCTTGACATAATGAATTAATTAACTTGCTATCTTAAGATAACAAAATTATCTTGAAATTACAAGGTAGTTATCTTGTTAACTCGAGATAAAAGTTATCTTGAGATAATGAGTCAATTATCTTGTGATCTCAAGATAGTTATCCTGACATAATGAGCCAATTATCTTATCTCGAGATAACAAAACTATTATCTTGAAATTACAAGTTAGTTATCTTGTCATCTTGTCTCAAGATCACAAAATAATTAACTCGATATCTCAAGATAACAACTTTTGTTATCTTGAGATATCGAGTTAATTATTTTGTGATCTTGAGATGGTTATCTTGACATAATGAATTAATTATCTTGTATCTCGAGATAACAAAATTGTTATCTTGAAATAACAAGTTAATTGTTATCTTGAGATAACAAGTTAATTAAATTGTGATCTCAAAATAACAAAGCTGCTATCTTTAGATCATAAGATAATTAACTCATTATCTCAAGATAACAGTCCAGAAAATTACAGCAACAGCTCATGGCCTCTCCGGATTTCCATAGATACAGACTTTTACGCAGATTTTATTCTTCTATTTAACGGATTATTTACAGGATTACCCACCTCGATCAGTCGGATAGAAATTGGATTCGGAATGGCCTCTATTGGACTAACCTGTTCCGACTGAGGTGTTTACATGGACGTATTCTCTTCCGATGGAGCTATTACGGATTATCAGTCTGCATGTAAATGAATCTAATGAAATGTAGAATAACCGTAATTCTTCTAACCAGCGTGTTAATAATTTGTTGCTGATTTGGTTGGTTGGCTGATTGATTGACTGGCTAATTGAATAAGCCACCAATCACATTAATCCGAGTCACGAAACCCTGCAGACGTTCTTCCAGTCTGTTCTCACTTGCCGTTCAGACTGTTCTCATCATGCTGCGCGCACTCGACGTTCGGTTTAGAGCCCGAAGCCTCCGCAGCGCTAAACTTTTTGACGAATGACAGTTTCTGTAGAATTCATAAACCACCTCCGGGGCCGTAAGATGTTTATGGATGCTGATGAGTGACTAAAACAAGCCTGAAGTGTTCAAAAGGCTGGAAATCTGAACCTAAATCTGTCCCATCAAAATAAAGCTCCCTCGTTAGTTCCCATTTGTTCCACACTGACACAGGGCTGACGCAATGGTGCGGCTAATGGCACACGAGCTGCTGCTCGGGTTTGATCTGAAATGACACTCGCCCTGTCACAGAAATCCCACAGAAAGTTCGGGAAAACCTGACGAAATCCGGTGAAGTGTGGAGCGATCGGGTGCAGGAGACTTTTGCGCTGCGTGTGGTTGTGATTAAAGGCGCGGCGCTCCGTCTCCGAGCGCGGGAGAACATGTTAGAGAGGTGTTAAACTTTTTTATTGCTATTATAATCGGCAAGGATAATTTTAGACCTGGTGTTTTTCGCTGAAGAGAATGGCAGCTCCGCTCAGATGATATGACCCTGGACAAGAAGACAGCCAATTTGTCCATTTTGACCAGAACAGCAGCCAAGTTACAGAGTTTAGTGTCCAAGGAGATGTGACTGCTGTCAGCTGAGGGGAGAGAGAGAGAGAGGGAGAGAGAGAGAGACTCTAAATGAACACAGCTTGGCCCTCGAGATTCTCATATCTTGTATTATATGCAGTATTTCACTGCTGTCGGAACAAAACCTCAAATTTCCAAAACCGTAACTTTACAGGAGAAGGAAAAAACATACTTTACTCTTAATGTAAGTCAATGGAACCAGAATTTTTTCCAAGTAATTTTGGGCCGTTTATTTTGGTCTATTTAAAATAAAATTTACACACAATGTAAAGAACAACAGGTATTTACAAATTATGTTAAAAATTGAAAAACAACAAAAATAGAGATACAAGGTTTTGTTCAGTCAGCAGCAACATATACACTATTCAAAAAGATGGTTCTTCAAGGGTTCTTTAGTAAAGACAGTGCTTCTGTATAGAACCATGAACATTCAAAGAACCATTTGCATGCTTATAGGGTTTTCTTTGCATGGTGAAATGGTTCTTCTAATTAATGTATAGTTCTGTATAGGGTGCTATACAGCACCAAAAAGGGTTCTCTATTGTTATGATGTTACGCTTGTACACTATAGAAGAACCGTTTTTGGTGCTATGTAGACCCCTTTTCAAAAAGGTTCTATATAGAAACATATAGAACACATTTTCCGTCAATCTGAAGAACAATTTCACTATGCGAACATTGTGGTTATTAAAGAACCCTTGAAGAACCACCTTATAGTTTGTGGCATAATTTGAAATTGTCTGGTGTTTTTTTACATTGTCTGTAAATTTCATGAAGAATGGACCAAAAGAAACGACCCAAAATGAACTCTGGTTCCATTAACTTAGTAAACAGGTTTTTTCCTTTTCCTGAAAAGTTTTGGAGATGCAAGATTTTGTTTAAGGTTTTGTTCTGACAACAGCAGAAAATTGTAAATGAGGCCTGTTTGAAAGTTATTTTATTTTCATTATTTTGTTTTATTTCTTCAGCTCAGTGAATAAAGTTCTGCACTAGAATAAAAAAACGCCAAATATGTATTTTGTTCCAAAATGCTTTATAGAATACTTTTTAGTTTTTTTTTATTAATATGTCATATTCAATACTATATTATGATCACTATTATCAGAGAAATAAAAATGTGTTTACTATATATACATACATACATACATCATCTAAACCGCTCATCCTTCTGGGTCGCGGTGGGGTGCTGGAGCCTATCCCAGCTTTCATTGGCCGGAAGGCAGGATACACCCTGGACAGGTGTTTACTATATATAGATATGTATATATGTATTTGAACATACATTCATTTATTTAAACCTGGAAGTAAAAACAGAAAGTTTCAGAATTTTGAATAATTTAAAACAATGAAAAGAAAAGTAGAAAAAATGTACAAGATTCTGAGCTTTATGTAGGTCATTATTCAGACTTTTGCAACTTCGTGACACTGACCGTGTGAAGGCCTTCGTACAGAAATGTCTGATTCTCTTCCAGTAAAACTCGGTTTTTACACACAAACTTATGGAGTCCAGCTTGAGCGCCGCTGTTATTAAAGGGGGACAAACTGAATCAAATACTGAGAAATTCTGAAATTCATTTTAAGATTTCAGAGATCCTGCATTTCACTCAGACTGTTATGCAGATAATATCATTTGTAATGAAAAACTTTGTATGAAATGCTCTTGTGGCTGAATACAATAAAACCCTCACAGCAATGTTCTAACATTTAGTGTTAAGTCTTCCTAGAAGAGTAGAGGCTGTTACTGCAGCACAAACTCACTATTAACACCTTCATTTCAGAAATAATGCTGGTACAAACTTTTGGACACGTTGTTGTTATAATAATAATAATAACAATAATAATAATAATAATAATAATAATGTCTTTACAAATTAAGTGTGAAGGATTTTTTTATTCATTTGTTTGCTTGTTCAAAATGGTAGTTTGTGACACAACAAAGTAAAATTTAGAGCCCAGTTCTTTACACATCAAGATAAATGTGACATCACACTGAGAAACCATGTTACTCCAAGAAGAAGAGTAGAATGAACAGAAGAAAAGGGATGTAGGGATGGTGGAGGGATGGCGGAGGAGGAATGGAGGGATGGTGGAGAAGGAATGGAGGGATGGATGTAGAGATGGTGGAGGGATGGTGGAGAAGGAATGGAGAGATGGATGTAGAGATGGTGGAGGAGGAATGGAGGGATGATGGAGCAGAAATGTAGGGATGGATGTAGAGATGGTGGAGGGATGGTGGAGAAGGAATGGAGAGATGGATGTAGAGATGGTGGAGGAGGAATGGAGGGATGATGGAGCAGAAATGTAGGGATGGATGTAGAGATGGTGGAGGGATGGTAGAGAAGGAATGGAGGGATGGTGGAGGGATATAAAATTATGTATGCATGTGGAGAGATGGAGAGATGGTGGAGGGATAGAGGGATTGTGGAGGGATTATGGAATTGTGGAAGAAAGGAGAGATTGTGGAGGAAAGGAGGGATGCTGGAGGGATTGTGGAGGGATGTACAGATTGTGCAGGGATGGAGGGATTGTGTAGGGAACGAGGGATGGTGGAGGGATTTAAGGATTGTGGAGGGATGTAGGGATGGTGGAGGGGTGGAGTGATGGAGTGATGGGGGAATTGTGGAGGGATTGAGGGGATGGAGAGGTTGTGTGGGGATGGAGGGATTTCAGAGGGATGTAGGGATGCTGGAGGGATGGAGGGATGGTGGAGGGATGTAAGGATTGTGGAGGGATGTACGGCATGTAGGGATGGTGGAGGGATGGAGGAGGGATGAAGGGATGTCATTAGATTAAAGAGGGGAGGGAAAAGGTTAATGTGAATATTGATATTAAAGTGCTACAGCTTCATCATGTCTCTGTCATCTTTTAAAGGTCATCACTGCTCTCTCTCTCTCTCTCTCTCTCTCTCTCTCTCTCTCTCTCTCTCTCTCTCCTCAGAGCTCCACTCACTCTCTGTCTGGACGCGGTTATTCGGTAAGTGTGACATTTCCTCGCTCTGTGCTGTGTTGGCCTCTCCTCGCGGCCCGTTTATGGCCCCGCCGGTGGACGTTTTAATTATGTTAACGAGAGTGATGGTGAAATGGTGATATTACCGACATCACTCTTGGATGACTAACTGATTAAATTGTGAAAGGTGTCCCATTGCACCCTGGGTAAATGCCTCCTGCTGTATATTTATGGCCGTTTCATTTGCTGTGTGTGTGTGTGTGTGTGTGTGTGTGTGTGTGTGTGGTTTAGAGTGAAGGCCAATGTCTTCTTCCACCTTCACTGCAGATTTCCCTCTGTTGCTGGTCTGAGGTCAGTGTTTAGATTGAAATAAGGTTGGCGTATCGTCCAGTTCCAGTCAGAAAAGTTGGACACACCAGCCTATAGATGGGCTTTGATACTTATTGTTGATTTTACCCACATTTTTAGAATGATAGTGACATTAAAACTATAGAAAATAACACTGTAAAAGTGCTAACCAAACAGAGCTACTTAGCATTACACAGATGACATCATGCTAACTGGTGGCTACCAGCTCCCATTCCATGTTGGCCACATTTATTCTTATGATGCTCAGTCAAACTGTTCCTTTAAACAAAATTACTTACTAATGAATTAACTAATTACTAATAAATGGACAATAAAAGATAGTTTGGGTTTTAAGGAATGGTTTGACTGTACATGCTAACAATAAATGTGGCTAACAGCAGACGGAAGCTAGTAGCCTCCAGTTAGAATGATGTCATTTGCATATAGAGGAAAAGTATATACACATATTTGCTCATATCAATATATATGCACAATATATGTGATGTTTTTAAACATGTATATATGAATCTGTGCCTTTTTAAAATATTTAAATATATGCGCAAATGCTGTTGTGCTAAGCTATTACATGATGTTGCGTGCTGTTTGGTGTGTGAATCGTAATGAAACCCATTTTATTTTTCCCAAGTTCTTCCAAAGTTTTCCCTGATTTATTATTTTTAATTCAGCTTTGTTGGATCTGTATGTAAGAAAAAGAGTGTAAAAATGCTACATTACTGAAACATGTTGACATTCAGTGACAGCAGGAAAAAGGTTGGGGTGTAATGAATGATTTTGTTTATGAGTCAGGCTAAAGAGGCACTTTTCTCTTTCTCTTTCTCTTTCATGCCGGTTTTCTCTCTTTCAATATTCACTGAAATGTATGCCTCCAAGATGGTGCCGTGCTAGCGGCAGCCGATTGCAGCAGCTCCATCCTGAGTGACGTTTTTTCTAACCTATGTTAGGTTTGCTACTTTTGGTCTTCTTACTATGTTTCTTTCTTTCTTAGTTTTTATTCTTCCTACTGATGCAATAGAAGAATTTCCCTCTGGGATTAATAAAGTGATCTATCTGTCTATCTATCTATCTATCTATCTCTCTATCTGTCTATCTGTCTATCTACCGACCTATCGACCTACCTACCTACGCCTCACTGAAAGAGAGAAAACCGGCGTGAACCCACACTAGCAGGGACACTCATGCTTTCAAGAAATTTCTCTTTTTGGCAGTACAAAGCAAAAGACCTAATACACGCCTTAACAATGGATGGACTATGGTAGCCACTTGTTAGCATGATGTTATTTGCATATGGAGAAAAATGATATGTACATATATTTGCCCATATTAAACATATGTGCAATACACTCTGAAATTGTTTCTACACTCAACTCCACTGACCATATAGTTTCACTCTGTAGCTCTACAGCTCTACACTGTAGTCCATCTGCTTCTCTGCATACTTTGTTAGCCCCCTTTTACCCTGTTCTTCAGTGGTCAGGACCCCCATGGACCCTCACAGAGCAGGTACTATTTGGGTGGTGGATCATTCCCAGCACTGCAGTAACACTGACGTGGTGGTGGTGTGTTAGTGTGTGTTGTGCTGGTCTGAGTGGATCAGACACAGTAGTGCTGCTGGAGTTTTTAAACACCTCAGTGTCACTGCTGGACTGAGAATAGTCCACCAACCAAACATATCCAGCCAACAGCGTCCTGTGGGCAGCGTCCTGTGACCACTGATGAAGGACTGGAGGATGACCGACACAAACTGTGCAGCAGCAGATGAGCTATCGTCTCTGACTTTACATCTACAAGGTGGACCGACAAGGTAGGAGTGTCTAATAGAGTGGACAGTGAGTGGACACAGTGTTTAAAAACTCCAGCAGCACTGCTGTGTCTGATCCACTCGTACCAACACAACACACACTAAAACACCACCACCACGTCAGTGTTACTGCAGTGCTGAGAATGACCCACCACCCAAATAGTACCTGCTCTGTGAGGGTCCATGGGGGTCCTGACCACTGAAGAACAGGGTAAAAGGGGGCTAACAAAGTATGCAGAGAAACAGATGGACTACAGTCTGTAACTGTAGAACTACAGAGTGAAACTGTATGGTCAGTTGAGCTGATAAGATGGACAGTGAGTGTAGAAACGAGGAGGTGGACTTGAAGTGGGCAGTATTTATGTGCTCCATATATTTAACTGTGTAGTTCATACTAATATATGCACATAAATGTCAGTATATTGAAATACTTTACCTTTAGCAGTTTTGGGCTCCAACTTCACTGTGATGTGTTTGTCTTAGGAAGAAATTTAAAAGCATTTAAGCATCAGAACATCTTTAATATTGTAAAAATCATACATTCAGTCATGTTTGCTCCTGTTTGACTTGCAGTCTGTTGACTGGTGCTGTAAACTGAGCGCATAATGGAAGAAAAAGTCAATCTTTCAGCCTAAAAGAGAAAAGATCTCGGAGAAGTTTCGGGTCAAGGCGCGGGAATATTCCTCCTTTAACAATTCAGCAAGGTTCACAGACTCTGCATATTTTTCTTTCGACTTTGAAAACAGAGTGAAACCCGTCGTATTATGTGCTTTCTTCTCCACCGACGCCTTCGCTTTTTCGTTTATTTATTTATTTTTTATTTTTTCAAATTTAATCTCTCACTCCAAAGCCGCGCGGCCTTCATAAACACGCGCGTCTGCCGCCTCTGCGTTTGAAAGTTCAGACACGCGCTTGACACGGAGTCTGAGAGGGAGCGCGTGTATTCCCTCGTGGTGACGAGACAACAGCGGCAATGCAAATACCTGCAGAGTTTTCAGCGCTAATGTCAACTAGCATGTCACACGGAAACTATTTATAAGCAACTTAAAAGTCCTGCACTGTCAGATTCTCATAAATATTTGTATTTTATGTAAACACATTCGGCTCCCTCGCTCAGACACGCTCGCGCTCTCCACCTGACACTCGCTGTCACTTGTTGAGGACGGCGTGTAGCATAACTAGCGCTGTTATGCTAAGCTGTTGTGTGTTGTGCTAATGCTCGGTATATAAATATAATCTGTCAGTGAACCAAAACTGAGCAGTCCGTTATGCAAACTGTTCATCTTTACTGATATTTATGTGTTTATTTAAGTTCTGTTTGTACTTGTTGCAAACATTGGGTAGCATAGCTAGCACTGTTATGCTATGCTGTTGTGCTAATGCTCAGTATATAAATATAACCTGTCAGTGAACCACCTAAGTAGACTGTTACACAGACTGTTCATCTTTACTGATATACGTTTATTTAAGTTCTGTTTGTACTCGTTGCAGACATTGGGTAGCATAACTAGCACTGTTATGCTAAACCGTTGTGCTAATGCTTGGTATATAAGTATATAACCTGTTGGTGAACCAAAACTGAGCAGTCCGTTACGCAGACGGTTCATTTTTACTGATATTTATATGTTTATTTAAGTCCTGTTTAATCTGTACTTGTTGTAGACATTGGGTAGCATAACTAGCACTGCTATGCTAAGCTGTTGTGTGTTGTGCTAATGCTTAGTATATAAATATAATCTGTCAGTGAACCAAAACTGAGTGCAAACAGTTCATTTTTACTGGTAATTATTTTAACTTCTCAGGTTCAGTTGTTTTGTAAAATTATTATGGATTGGAGCGGCTCTGGCTGCGTTCTGGGCTTTTGTCTAGTGTTGTTTTTAATTTTCCTGTGTAAAGCGGAGTGTGTTGCACCCTCTCTCGCTCACGGCTGTGTTTATCATGCTGAAGTTGAAGCCATTTTAGAGAAAAACTCACAACAAGGCCTCCAGCCACCTCAGACTGGAACTGACATATCAGGGCTGGCAACCAGCGAGAGAGAGAGAGAGAGAGAGAGAGAGAGAGAGAGAGAGAGGCATGATAATGAGGCCTAAATATTGCAAAAAGAAGTTTCTGCCCTTTGGATGAAGTGGAAAAGTTTGTTTATCGATAAAAGAGAAATCTAATAAGTGGTAGCAGAAATCGAAGTGTTGATGTAGGGGGACGTTTCTAATAAAGTGGCCAGTTAGGGGGACGTTTCTAATAAAGTGGCCAGTTAGTGGAGGCACAGCGTGGGTGTTTCTAATAAAGTGGCCAATTAGTGGAATCACAAGGTGGGTGTTTCTAAGAAAGTGGCCAGTTAGTGGAAGCACAAGGGGGTGTTTCTAATAAAGTGGCCAGTTAGTGGAAGCACAAGGTGGGTGTTTCTAATAAAGTGGCCAGTTAGTGGAAGCACAGGGTAGGTGTTTCTAATAAAGTGGCCAGTTAGTGGAAGCACAGGGTAGGTGTTTCTAATAAAGTGGCCAGTTAGTGGAATCACAAGGTATGTGTTTCTAATAAAGTGGCCAGTTAGTGGAAGCACAAGGTGGGTGTTTCTAATAAAGTGGCCAGTTAGTGGAAGCACAAGGTGGGTGTTTCTAATAAAGTGGCCAGTTAGTGGAAGCACAAGGTGGGTGTTTCTAATAAAGTGGCCAGTTAGTAGTAGCACAAGGTGGGTGTTTCTAATAAAGTGGCCAGTTAGTGGAAGCACAAGGTGGGTGTTTCTAATAAAGTGGCCAGTTAGTGGAATCACAAGGTATGTGTTTCTAATAAAGTGGCCAGTTAGTGGAAGCACAAGGCTGGTGTTTCTAATAAAGTGGCCAGTTAGTGGAAGTACAAGGGGGTG